AGATTTTACATATTGGGAAGATGGCATTAATCTTAAAAATGAAGAAACTTGAACTATTAAAGATGTAAAATCAAGGAAAAACATAATGACTTTAAGACATGCTTACTCTAAGATAAGCAATTTTTCATCTACATTAAAATTTGAAGTTAAGCTATCAAGCTTCATTAAAAGTTAAGCTTTAAATTGAGCTCCAGAAAATGTCTTTAAGGCACAATTTTCTGCCCAACTAAGGTAATTCAAAATAAAAAAGAGCTCCTACATACTTCAAATATTAGAGGAAGTATTCAAAATCATATTTGAGAAGAAAGAGATTATCTTTCTTTTAACTTCTATTATCCCTTGGTAAAAGTTGTAGGTAATTGGGTAGATACATTTTGGCAAATATTCTTTGAGCTACAGATAACCCATAAACAAAAGCAACTTTATGCAAGTTGGACAAACAAAATCAGTTCTGAACCAACACAATTATGAATATGATGACAGAAATTACTCTGCTAATTCCTGGGGGGAACATAGCAAGAGATGACAACAGATTATGACAAAATCCCAGGCAGGTTATGGTAATGAATAACAATTACAGAAAGCACAGTTACTAGAATAAATCAAATTTTAATAAGTCTCCTGGCTTTATATTCAATTTCCATGGATAAGCATTTCAGTAGGTCCCAAATCTCATCTGAGTTTAAATAAGGAGTGAAAGAGCAAGTACGCAATATGCATGCTAGTTTTCAATCTCTTTCTCCTTTTTTTTTTAGGGGAGGGAATGTAGCAGGGGCCTTCAGGTATCACACTCAGGGTCTATCGGGAGTTGCAAACTGCATGCACACAGGCTTGACAAGATTATAAATTAAGATAGTTAAACACAGGATGAAAAAGACTAAATGAGTACTGTTAAATCATATCTAACATCATATTCAAAGCAACCAAAGAGAAAAGATAGATTAACTACAAGGAACAAGGTTAGATTGACAGAAGACTTCTTAATTAGCAAAAATGGGAACCAGGAAATAGCAAAGTTATATTTTCAAAGTAGTAAAATAATATCTTCAATTTTCTAAGGGAAAGAAGAACCTAGACTTGAAGATCCAGCTAAGCTATCTCACAAAAAATAAGGGTAAAGATATTCTCAGACTAAAAAACAAAAGCTTGTAAATTCATCAAAAACTAATCTCACTAAAGGAATTATTAAAAGATAATCTGAAGAAAAAAGTGATCTCAGAAGTGAGGTCTAAGTTGCAAGGAAGAATGGTGAGCAAGGCAAATGGTAACCATAAGAAAATCTAAAAATAATACCATATAAATTAAACTATACTACTAATAATACCTAATTTGAAGGGTTAAGCAAGAAAATCTTTATTTTCTGCACTTTACCAAAAGATTATCCATGAGATAGTTATTTTACCAGTTACATTTGATTTATTTTGTAAGTATTAAGATTTGTCTTTACTATTCACTGTGTTCATCACATTCATGTCTCCAATATCAGACTATAAACACTATCTTAAAATTAAAAAAGAACTTTTCATTCACAGATTTCCT